ACAGAAACATGGGCAGGGTGCATGACCAAGGATTTTTTCATTACACCTGCAATATCCATGAGACTGTACCATTAGGGGAGTCGTGGGTCGTGAACCCACTGACACAAAGCCAGTTTGCAGCTGAGCACTTGCTATGGTGGCGGTGAGTTTTCAGGGGGTCAGCAGCACATGGGCACATTGTTGGGGTCCCTTCTAGTAGTGCCATTGCCAGCACAGCACTTCTGTACCACTGTCCTTTCTAGTCACTTGTAGTTGAACTAGTATTATGCTTAAAAGCTTGTTACAAGCAAAAAGGAGACACACCTTGTATGTAAAATTCAAGAATTTATTGTTAGTGTAACAGATTTTAACAGTCTAATATATGAATTATTGTTAGTCTAGATCTAATTACAAGAGAGGAGAGACAAGAAGAGAGGACACTACAGCTACACTACTACAGGAAAAAAAAAACCAAATCCCAACAAGGTAAAATCAATCTATGCACACTTCCTACTATTTCCCCCCTCTTTTTTAATGTTATGCTCACATTTGCACTGATACTCAGGTCAATGGCTGCAATGGGGGTAGTGAGGAAATTCTGACAGTCACCCATATCCCAAATCCATCACTAGGATGAGCATGATGTTGTTGGTTTATTTTTCCTTATTTTTTCTTTTCATGGGGACATTTTTATGTTTGCTACCAACTTTCTATTTTGTTTTTCTTTATGGGCCTTCAAATCCTACAGTTACACCTGAATTTCCTAGTCATTATAAAAATTGCTTTCACAGCTAAACCAAGGGGCAGCTCAAGGCAGGTTAAGACAAGTTCAAACAAAGCAATCCTGACAAGCCTCAGCCCTGAGGCCTCACAAAATCAGCATAAAGCCTGGGGCCTCTTACTGCTCTATTCTAGGCTACCTGAATACATTACCCCTACAGGTGTTTTTCTCTCACTACAGCCACATGCTCTGCTGTGTCACCTGAGCTGAGTTTTTTAGCCTAATTGTGGATTTTGATCTCCAATTAGGATCCAGCATCAGACAGAAAGTCAAAACAGGTATAAGGACTGGCTGATAATGGCCATTTTCTGCCCATTACAGCTGGTGCCAGGGTCCAGGGGGCTTACATAGTTAAAAACCAGTACACAGCAGGCTGCCAAAGCACAAGCCTTGGGAGAAGTGAGACAAGAGCTACAGTTTTCCTTAAAACCAGTCTTACTTTTGCTTTTTCCAACTTTTAGCCTGATCTGCAGAAACAAAATGTGATATGGTAAAGTGGTGCTTTATGGTTGATGCCCTTGATCTTTACAATGGATGTAAGGTATGTCTTGATAATAGGCTTCAAATTATTCTTCACAGTTGTTCAGCCAAAATATTAAGTGCCTGTATCCACTTTCCACTTGGTGTTAATGGAAAAGGAGTTGTCTAATTTCATCTGCCTGCTCTTCTTGTCTCTTCAACATTCAAATCCCTATGAAGCCACAGTGTTTCATCCTGCATGATTGCAGACGCAAGCATATCCCTTTTCTTGCACTAAGTGGACTGCTGTGCTCAGCAAGCTATTTTCTGAGCAGGCCAACGGCCCTCAAAATGGCCATGAGAAAGTATTGGATTCTGGTTTAGGAGCACTGGTAGTCTAAAAGTCATTGTCACAATACCTATGTAAAACAGCACAAGCTGAGGTGGAACACTGTACCAATGAATAGCTCCAAATAACTCTAAGGAAGTAATATCTACATATTGATTTAAAAAAGTACCCTTAGGCAACATCATTAAATTCCCACACAGTGAATATGACCTCCACTCCTTGAAAAGGAGGCTTTTTCTGACATACCTCAAAAAACTAAAACCTTTGCATAGCTTTTGTAACTTTTTCATATCTTTGGCCAAGACTACTGAAGTCGCTGTTTTATGTAAATAATCACATTTTAAATATTTCTGCTGTATTTTCATCAAGGACACTCAGGAAAGGCATTTTGCTTTCCAACTGCTTAATATAAGGCATAATGTTTCTCTTCAATAAGAGGTAAACTGGCTTCCTCAGAAGTCCCCAGCAGAAGTCCCACATTTGCAGTCTGAGGCAACTTGGGTGCGCAAACTATTGAGTGCACAAGCAGGGAGGTGTCGAGGTAAAGCTAAATGAACTGTAATGCTTTCAGTGAGAAACAGACTTTCATGGGTGAATCCCTGATTTGCAGACTTGCCACATACTTGCTGTGCTCTGGGCACATAGCTGTGAAATCGGACATGAATGACTTTGTGTCTTGGAGTTCAAATCATTAATTAAAGTATTTTTCAGAAAGCTATAAAAACATATAGTTACCATAGAAATACAGGGCTGGAAGCGATCATCTACACTGAGGCACTTTTAGCTATGTTGATAGCATCAGTGACAGATGGTGGTCTAACCTGTTCTTGAAAATGCCTAATGAAAGCTATTCTCTTATTTGCTGAGAGATCAAAAGGAATCAGTATGAAAATGTGTTCTGATTTAACTCCAGCCCTCATGCATTGCACAAGTCAGTCCTTCCCCAGCCAGAGCTGTCTTCCAAGGTTATACCAGAACTCTTAGGAAGATACCTGATCTGACTGGCAGTCAGTATGGTAGGTTATGCACCATAGCTCAGCAGATCAGTATCTCCACTGTTACAATCTGCATTGTGTGTAAAAAGAGGCCCCAGCATGTGTGGGGAGGTGATAGCACCAGGAGAGCAGGCCAAGCAGGTTCTGGAGGGCCAGGCGGTGGACCAGTGTAAGGCTCCTGGTCAGTCTAGCACACGGGAGGTATCACTGAATAACTTGTCAACAACTTGTCAACTAATAAATATCAAGGGAAGGAAAAAACTGCACTGAGTAAAAAGTTGTATTTTTAAAATTAATGAGAATCAAAATAGACATCTGCAGCCTTTCCAGTTCAGCTGCCTTTGTTGCACAGCTAGCTTCCCACTGTTCAAGACTCTCTTCATAGAACAAAGGCATTCTCAGAAACCTCTGCTTTAGCAGAACTGTTTGAAAACAGTGCACAAGTGAGGCAAGCTGGGGTGGCTGGAAATGGACAGGACGTTGGGTGCATTGCTAAAAAGGAGTCAGTGGATCCAGAGGATTTCCCTGCTTATCCTGCTGGCTCTACCACCACTCCCCACCCCTGGCCTCCTCTCCTGCCTGCCTGCCTACCCTGCCCCACTTGCCTGCCCTGCTCTGCCTGTCTGTGCTGCTTGCTTGTATCCCACTGCAGGTTGTGACAGAACTCCTCCAGAATACTTACATCAATTCTGTTTTCTCCTCCCACTGGCATAAAACTCTTCCAGTGGCAACTGTGGCCAGTTCCTTGTGATTTTATATTCACTGAGAGCTTAGTTTTGATAGCATTCATTCCCTTTCAGAAGAGCACTGCAATTTATGAGTCAGTGCAGTCCTTACTGGCAATCTGTGCTATCCTGTGCTCATTCCCTGAAGAGCGAGATTGCATTTACAGCCTCTACTCAGAAGGCTCTGTGCTGGTGCAGAAACACTCCTGTATTCTGAACTAGTACAAGTAATTGTCAGTTTTAATATCACGGGCAAATTTGTTACATGCAATTTCAAACCTAGCTGATCTGGGCAGTTTCTGCCTTCCTTGCCCCCTTGCTGTCTCTTTCCCCTTTTCTGATTTTAATTTCCTTTCAACAGTATCCTGAATATGAACAAAAAAAACTTTAATGATGACGGCAAGTCCTGCAGTATTTCTCACTTCTCAAACATTCATGGGATTTAGCTTGTGAAAGGGCTACATCACCAGGAGGAGTGGTCCTGTGGCTTGCTCTCACAGCACTGCTGGGCACTCAGCATTACACCACCAGCAGCTGCTGCAGCACAGTGCGCTTTAAAATGGGCATGGACTGAGCCTGAGACAATGCCAGGCTGAATAATGCCACTTAGATAATGTTGTCTGCAGCATAAAATAAAAACCTTGTGTGTGGAAATACAGGATAAAGGGACAGGAACTGTCAGTCAACACCAAGTAAGACTGGACTGTTGTGCAAGGAGATGCACTTGTTTTAAACAGACTACACAGTGGGATTGTTATCTTCTCCACTTGCAAGTCCAAGAGTAGTGCACTCTTATGGAGGTGCTTGCTCATGTTCTCCCCTGGGCTGTAGAATAGCTTTGAACATATGCATTCTTACTTAAACCTAGGAAGGTGCCAGAGGGGGTTGTTTCACTTCTCACTGTTCAAACCTCCCTCCCTGCTGGCATGAATGGGCATCTCATCTGAGTTAGGGAATCCTGATTGTGCCCTAAAGTCTGTTCTTTCATTGAGCATTCACCCTCTGACTTCACAGGAAAATCCCAGGGGCCATAGTGCAATGTAATGTGCTTCCTTTTAATGATAGTAAGCAAAGATGCTGACCCTGCAGATGATGCTGGGTGCTGCATGTTTCATTTTGTGCCTAAAAACATGTTGTTTTTCTGGACTTTTGTAGTTCTTTGGTATCTTTATGTCATGGTAATATTACACCACCACTGTGCTGTAGAAGGCCTTTACTAACGTTATCTTGCATGTGAGCTGTTAGGGAAAAATGACAGTATGCTGACCAAAACTGTGCTTTTTAATAAGGTGAGGCTGCAGCACCCAAATGCTAGCTGTTAGTTTGGCAAGTCCTGGTCTTCAGCTCTTGCCCCTAAACCACGGGCTTTGCAGTGAACTGTGCTTGGCTCATAACTGGGACCATCACTGCGGTGCACCAGCTAGCACAGAAACTAGCAGCCCTTCTTACCATACTTGAACACCAGACTGGACCTCAAACTCTGGAGGGGCCTGGCTGGTTTTACCCATTTCTTTTGTGCTGCGGCCACCAGCAGGAGAACCAGACTCTCCCCCCTTTGTTGGTCTCACCGGCAATGGACCCATGTGGTCTCACTTTAGGGCTCTCGATTAAATTGCATTTCCTTCTAAAGTGTTGTTTCTCACAGGAGGTGTTCCCGCAGTGGAGGCCGACCACATTCATTGCGGTCAGTACTCCCATCTGCAGCGTGGACCTTTAGGGGTGCCAAGGGCCACTTAACAGACATAAGCTGTTACTCAGTTTCTTCCTTACTAAAGGAGAGAGAGAGCAGTGTTGGGTTTTGGTAGTTTAGGTGGGTAACTCCTTTATTTCCATGTTCTAGAGAAGCTCGAGTGAGTAAACCAGGAGTGCCTAGAAAGATCAGGGAAAAAGGGAATTACTGGGATGTTGGATCTGCATCCACCTCCAGCAGGTGGTAGTTAGACAACCACAAGGGTGGCCACGCACAGCTGTAACGTGACAGGCCTTGTGTAACAGATGCCAGCACACCTCGGCAGCAGAAGCATGTTCATGCCGGAGCTGGTGCACGGCAGCCCTGGGAGCAGTGAAGTTCTGCCGCCGCAGACCCGAGCGGGCTTTCACAGTCCGCCTGCGGCCCAGGACTGCAGACACCCCGCCCTGCAGTGCTCGTCCCGGTACCCCGGAGCGCCGCCGCTCTCGGTACCGAGCTTGGGGGCAGGGCCCCGGCCCACCCTTGGGGCGACGGGGCCGAGCGCGGTCTGCGGTAACCTGCCCCCGTGGTGGGTCCGCCCGGAATAGCTGTGCTGGCGCTAACAGCCGTTAAAAGCGGACAAAGCGTGAGCTGCCGGCCCCACAGGGCCGCGGCCGCTTGCGCTCTCTGCGCCGCCGCACGAGGCCGCTCCCCCCTCAAACATGGCCGCCCCAGCAAACCCCGCCTCACTTCGCTGCCGGCCGGCGCTGCCGTGTCCCGGCCGCCACCGGCGGTAGAGAGGTGCTGGGCCGCGGCCGGGCGCGCTCGCGGTGAGGCGGAGGGAGCCGCGGGGGGCCCATGAGGGGCTGCGGCAGCCGCAGGCCGGGCCTGCCCAGGCGGCTGACTCCTCCCTGGGGGCAGGAGGGTGCGCTCGGGCCGCCTCCGCCGCCGCCCGCCGGGGCCGCCGCCGTGTGACTGGAAGCGCGCAGCCCCGAGCTGCCGCGGGGCGTCGGCACCCTGCCCCCGCGGGACGGGGCCTGCTGGGCCCGGCCCGGCCTGCCGCTCCCTCCCCGCCCGCCGGGGTCCCCGCCGGCAGCGACGATGTTTTCTCTCAAGCAGCCCAAACCCACCTTCAAGTCCTACCTTCTGCCGCTGCCTCAGGTAACAGCCTTTTCCTTCCATTACTGACCTGCTCGGCTCTCCCGCTCCCGTCCCTGGCCTTGACCCTGCGCGCGGTGCCGTCGGTGGATCTTGCCCTCCAGCGCGGCGGCTGGGCCGGCTCGGCCCGAAGGGTGCGCCCAGTGCTGGGCCCGGACCTTCTCCGCGCTAGGCTCGGGGTCCCTAGCTGGTGGCGGCACGCCAGCCCCTGCAGCCCCGGGAACCCTCCGCCGCTCGGGGAGACAAAAGCGGGGGAGCGGGTGAAGTCGCACACAAACATTGGGTGAGCAAATGCTGGTGACAGGGACAGGCTTCGCTCGAGGAGCAGAACTAAATCAAAATGAGCTCTTGTGCTCGTTAAAACCAGCCAACGTGAGATTATATCGGAAAGTTACGAATAATGCCTCAGGTGCGCACGTTCCTTTGGGTGGGATCGGCGTTACCAGCGGTCGCGCTGTGCAGTAATTTGGGAAGAGAACAGAAGCATGCCTGTTGCGCAGAGTTGAATTCTCACCATAGCCATGGTTTCACGTTTAAAAAACTGCTGATCGCATGAATAAGAAAATCAAGTGCTCCATGTAGTGCGTATCCCATCATGAGTATCTGGTAGAGCTACCAGGATTTCTTGGTGTGGTCCGTGTGCCCTTGGCAATGTGATTTTAATTGATGTATTTGTGACCAGGCAGAACCTTTTCTAAGCAGCGTGTTTGACATGTTGACTCACGTTTACTTTTTCAGTTTCTTGGGAAAAGTGAAATGTTGATGCAACATACTTCTGGATGTTCCTAGTCATGAGAAATAGCAGTATCACTCTCAATGTAGGAACCGTAGGCATTAAGGTTATTCACTGCAGATTCCAGTCTTTCTATAGAAGTATTTTTATTTTTAAGGTTTGACGTTAAATAAAAGAAGGTAGGTATGTGTTCTAGGCCTTGGGTTTGGGGAGATTTTTCCTGTGCCAGAAAGTCATGCATATGAAAAGTTGAGAGTTTTGTGCAAGCTGGAGCATCTGCCTCAGTGTAGCTCTTGTTGTAGGACCTGGGTCTCCATGGAATGTCAGTCCAAATTGGTTTTCATTTGACCTGTGTGGAGGTTTTTTTATAGCCTAGGTTACACAGTTAGACATTAGCAGTTACGTACATTATTATTCTGGTGAAAAGCTGAATGTACACAAAAAAAAAAGTCAGTAACTTCACAGAAAAATGTTTCTATGATTGGATCCAAGCTTTTTTTAAGATCAGCTTTCTAAGTTAAAAGAACTTTCTTTGTTGCCCAAGCAGATCAGACTTGTGTCTGAATGTAAAGTTCTGATTCTGAAGTAAATCATCTTTTTCCTTTTGCTTCAGGCTGAAGACCATATAGCATCAGAACCAAGGATTAAAAAACTGGAACCAGTACTTCTGCCAGGTAGGCATAAATCAGGAATTTGACAGATACCTCAACAAGGGTATATTTAAGCCATTTGTTTATTATAATAGAATTGGTAAAATGTAATTAGTTTTCTCTATTTTACTGTGATTATTGACTTTGGTGTATTTTAATCTTAGTGCAATCCTTCAGGAAATATAATGTCCAAGTAGGAAAATCCAGTGATATTTGTGTCTCTAGAAGGTTGTTTGAACCTGCCTGAAACGCTAACAAAATACATCGGCAGTTTTGCAGTGCTTTAGTATGTGCAGGATAATGCCTTGTTTTTTTTTTGTCAGTATTTGCAATGAAGCCACTGTAAGTTTTACAGCATTTATTGATACCTTTTGGAAGACTACTAATCAGATAGTCATACCTTTGCCTGTATGCAGAACCCACTGCTATATGTGGTAATCTTCCTTTATTTTAAAGGCAAATAGTCATAGAATTTCAAGTAGGTAGGTATGATTGACTTGTGTATTGGAAAACTTCTGGTGGCATTGGAAAATGCCACCTTTAGTCACTTAACTCTTGTTGAAGGTGCAGCTGTTAAGTAATTTTGGAATTTTTAGGTGGCTTTAAACCTATGCAGAATAACCTTTTTAGTGTGTGGATGAGAAGAACAATGTTTTTATTATTGATCATAATTACATATTTATTAAAATGTAAGACACTCGTGTTTTCCATATTTTAAATAAGAAATTATCTTTGGTAAATGACACTTTGATCAGTGAGAATTTCTAAAAGCCTTTTTCAGATACCACAGGAATAATCTACTGTGCTCAAGATTACTTCTGTTGCAGACTCTGCATCACAGTAATAAATTTGTTTTGACCTTTCTAGGGGTAATTTTGAGTTTTAAACAGTGGTACGCTGCATTTTTTATTTTTTTTTTGTTAGGATAAGATTGTATGTCAACAGACAAGAATTCACGCATGTATTAATGCAGGAAGCTATTGCTGTCATGTGGACTAAGTTGATAAGACATGTTAACATTCAAAGTGACCAACAGAATAAATAAGTTAGTCTTAAAAATCATTTCTGTCACTGTTTCATGTGGGATTTTCGTTAATTAAGCAGTACTAATTGATACATGATATGGTCGAGTGAGGTACCTTAAGCTTAAGAGGCTGAAATACTGTGGAAGAGGTTTAGCTGAAAGAGTAAATAACAATTGACTGGCGCTCTGTGCGAGACAAAATAATACAGGTTTTGCTTGAGGCATAAATACCTTAAAATGCGTTGCTGAGATTGCTCGGTATTTGAAATACAGATACATCTTTAAGCTTGCAAAACTTCTACTTGCCACTTGGCATCTCATTGGTTATGTTGCAGTTGATATTCGTCCAAGGTCTTTGACTCACAAGGAAGTGACTGCATGTTCTTCTCTGAGACATTCCTCAGAAAATGCAAGGCAGAATGAGGTTGTTTTCCTCGGAGTGTAGCACATCTTGCCTTTGCTGTGAGATGTGTGCATGAGCAGTTACAGAAAACAACTTCTGTGCAGTAACTTTTTGCAATGTGATTCATGCTTTATTTGTGAAACTCCAAAGTACACTTAAAATGGTGCTGACTGGGTCTTTTTTTTTTTCTCAACTGGCTTATATTTATCCTGTGTTTGCATCATTTCCCTTTTCTGTGCTATCTTTGAAATTAGCATTTGGTGGCTTTTGGGATGTTTGTAGTAAGTTGCCACAGGTTGCATAGAAACCAACTGAGAGAGTATGACTCAGCAGAGAATTCAAATTTCCACCTCCATATCATTCTAAGGTGTTATTGTGAGCTGTTTCATAATAAAACTCACTGCTCTGTACAGCCACAGAGTAGGTCTGACAATCTTTTCATTTTTGTGAGCATCAGTCAGTATGAGGGAGTTTAGAAGTGACTTATTTTAAATTACTCAAATGCAGCTCTTCCTGTTTAAAGTTAAGCACTGGCCTAAAAACTTTTTTTTTCTTTTTTTTTTTCCTGCCATCAAGTGGTGCAGCAGCAAAGTGTATAAACAAGTACACATTGTACTGTTGGATAGACTGGCTTTGGATTTGTCATAACCCAACTTTCTGGCCAAATTCCAACTCAATTATATTAAGGCTGACTTGTACTCTCTTGCAAGTACAATTTGACTGTGGTATTTCTAATATTCTATCCTTAACAGTTGTATAAAATTGCCTTTGCTCTCAGGAACAGAGTTAATCCTGAGTGGCTGAATGTTTATTATGCTGGTCTAATTGGTAGAGTTTTTAAGGAGTTCTTTTGGAATTGAATTATGTTAGTAGAAGCAGTTACTGCGCCTTTAGTGATCTTTAAAAACTGCAAATAGCTGTATTAAGCTTTTGATTCCTAAAACATAGTCACTTTGAGGGAGTGACTAATTTTTGACCCTAATACCATACTACATAACTTGTATTTCTGTGCAGTGCAGGTTAGGAGAGGGAGTTTCAGACCTAGAAATAATGCCAAGTTACAAAATAGTAGGGGTTTATTTTGGGGGCAATAGGCAGGCAGGGGAGCATGGGGGAATTTACATTAGAACTGACTTTTAACTTGTAGAGTTTGTTTTTAAAGTTTCCTCTGGTGCCCAGAGGAATGGAGATGCATCTCTTCATATTTTGGAACAGAAGTCTGTATTTTCATGGAGCTGTGTGCTCTGCGGACAGTGGTATATTAGGAAAAGAACAAACATCATTTTAAGGAAGTAAAAATCTTGGTTTTAAGTGCCACCACTGATAATGCAGTAGGGAAAACCAAATAATTTTCTGGAACTTGGTTTATTTTCCTTCCAAAGCACATGGTATGGTTGCAAGATGGACTTACAAAATGTTTTCTTTTTCTTTCTGCAGTTCTGTTCTCCTAGAGTAGGTCTTCGATTAAGAGTTTTTGCAATTAGTTGAAGAGCCTGAGGAACAGTTTCACTTATTTTAGCTTTGTTTCCGTGCATAGCTTGTTCTATAAGCATGTCAAAGAGGAAACAGAAATAGCAGGTAGGCTACCAGTCAGCCTGTTAAAGTGCCTTGCCTGGCTAGTGGGAAGTCAGCTTGTGTACTTGAGGGAGAATGAAGTTGTTAAACTTGAAGTTGTGTTTTGTTCTGGTAATCAATTGTAGCTTGTGTCCACAACAGTGTCTGTGGCATTTTTGAGACATCAACTTAAGCATTCAAAAAAAAAAAAACGTACAACAGAACTGGGATGTAATGCAGTGTATGCTTTCATGATGTGATTGGCTATGCAGTGCGCAGGGAGGTGTAATACAAGGAGCCAGTGCAATGCCTGTGCTGTACGCAGTGCCGTGCCATAGTTTAGGAAGGGTCAGACCGAAAGGTCCTTCCTCCCTGTTGCTCACCATGATATTCTGCAGGAGATATATAACTAATGGAACATCTGATGAAGAGTGAGAAAACAATTGTTCCTCCTGGATTGTAATATCCACTGGTAATTACCCGGCTTCCTTCAGCCTGTGGTATGGGGACTTCCCTCTGAGAGTACTGTAATGGGGGGAAATCCAGATGATGAGTTAGAGAGCATCATAGAGACAATGCTATCATACTTAATTCGAATTCTTGCTGGATTTTTCTTACATGACTTAGGCTTTCTATAACCATGTAAAGGTCAGTCGCCCACAGCTTCATCTAGTAATAAGTTCAGCAATTGAACTGTATGCTGTTACTGACTGCCTTTTTTTGTTTTGGACTTAACTACCATATAGTTTCTGTGGATAAATCCTAGTTCTTGTATGACACAGCAAAGGTCATGCCATATTTGCCCATTCCATGTGATTTGTGATTTTTCAGACTTGTGTCATATGTCCACTCTGTTTTGCATCCCTCTAGCTTAGTTGTCTTGGTCCTAAGAGGGAAGCTTTCTATTGCTTCAATCCTTCTTTTGATTGTCTCTGAGCCTTTTCCAGTTGTGCCGTGTTCTTGCTGAGATGGAACATTGTATTTGAGACTTCTGCCATTGGATATATTGGGGGTTTATCTATTAATGACAGCTTGATTGAATTTACAACCTGCTTTTGGGGGTTGGTTAATTTTTTTTCTTTTGTATATATGCACCCTTAGATAGTCAAATGACTGTAGAAATTGACCTGTGGGAGGTTTTAACACTGTACGCAGTCTTAGAGCAGTCATATAAGACTCTCCTATAGCAGTGTCTGATTCTCTCGTGAGTTAGCTCCCAGCTCTTTTCCTACACAATTTTTTCTCCACTGTCTGCAGATCATTTGTCCATGAAGTCATGTGTTCCAGAGCAGCTTGTACGTTGGGACTGCAGGTGTGTTAACACCTGCCTGATTTGAACTCTTGTATCTCTTGGTGTTTTGGTTTGGTTTGTGGTATTCCAAAGCAGAACAGAGGTCATGGTGCTGTGAGTGCATGATGCCAGCACTGGGGTGAGTGTCTGTAAGAAACAGGGACCAAGCCCAGGAGTTAATATTGTAATGCCAGAGGCTTGTCAGGTCTGCCTTTCTTGTGTATTAGGAATCATTTCCCCCCTCAAAGAGGAAAATGGGATTGTTCCATTGCTTGGTACAAGTAGTAATGCTGTCACTGTCAGTGCCTTTTTCCATCTGTGTTTCTGGGAGGAATTGTCAATACCCAAGTAGCTATTGCTTGATCTGTTAAGAGTGCACATTTGTTGACAGTGAGTAGGGATAGCCTGTCAGTTGTAATAGTAGAGAAGAACTTGGATAGGAGTTGGTTTGGGGTTGTTTACAAAGCCTGTTCAGTTGCTGGTTCTCATTCCTCATGTTGTGGTGTGCCAGCCAAGGCGCTCTTACTGATTGCACAGTGGATTGAGACATTGTATTGCAGGGTATGGGTTTCTTCCCTGCGTCAAGTTTCTTACTTGGAATTGAGATGTTACTGTAAAAGTTTGTTTGTTTTTAAAGTTAGTTTGTGAGACTAGACAAGTAAGTGAAATAGCTTTGTAATTTCAGCTTTTGAGGAGTCAGTGTCATACAAGAGCATGAAATTGTTTTCAGCGTTTCGGAATGGCCAGATTAG